TCTCTCATCAATCTCGTTACTAAAATAACTTACTGCATTGTAATTCCACTGTGTGGTGCTAGTTTTCTTATTCACTCCAGCCACATCACTGATTCGCTCTCATTTATGATTCTCCGAAGAATCTGAATTATATCTATTTCTCAACCTTACGCTTTCGGTTCAGTTTGCTTTTCAATGCAAATGAAACCAAAAGATCGATTTGGCAAAATATAACACCTGAATACTGAATATTCGGTCCCTAGTCGACTGGATCTCTGAAATTTCATTCGAAGCAAAAGAATTTTCATAATTCCGCTGTATTCAGGATGATCTTTACGTTTAGAGATTAAAAATTATGTGTCAATCATGGCTGAACAATTTCACCATCTTGAAATATATTTTTCTGAAACTAGAGAAACTTCTGAAGTAGATTTTCAAAAGAATTCCTGAGTTGCTGAACAAACCTGAGAGTGCAGCTATAATATTAGAAAATGGTACTCTTGAGAGCGCTACAATACTGCGGTGACTTATAGGTTCGCCGGTAATTATAATGAATTATCATTATTTTTCTCGTAAAGAGGTGGAATAAAATTGATATAGTAAGAGTTTGCTTTCGAGTCATTTCTGAGAATTGTTCAAGCTCGCTCGATCTACTTTCGGATATTCGGAGCGGCTCAAGTTGTATTCAGCAAGTGCTCAATAATTTTTCTTCGTTTCAGTAATAATATCGACAAGACTCAATCGAAATCACATAAACTCAGCCGTTTTTGCTCAGTGTACAAATATTCATTTATAGAACGATTCAGTCGAAATCTCGTCGTACCTCTGAAATTTTACCCCTAAACTCATTGTATACATACTACAATCATCTTTATCAATTGAACATGTTCAGAAACTGTGCTTTTGCAAAGATTAAAACTGCATTCGAGCTTAGTGTCAGTTTGTCGCAATTAACGAAGTATTTCTCTTTCAATCTCTTGTGATATGATCTAATGATCAAGGATACTGAGTGATATGAATTGTGATATTCATTGTAATTGATCTATATGTTTGATCGATATATAAGCAGCAACTATTTCTAAGCTGAGCGTTTTGTATTAGAAATCATTCCGTGTTATTCTTCATTGTATCGTCTACTAATTGGTTTCAATAAACGACAAGTTCAATTGTGCACCCTAGGACGTAATCGATTCAACAACATTCATCAAATTTCTTTGAAATGGTGATTGAGTGCAATCGTTGTGGTTATTTGTTTATTTGTATTTGTATGAAACAATCAAGACGTCGTCGACTCGCCACTAATGCAACTCAAGTAAATAAATATTTCGTTGAATGACCATTACCTCCTTCCTCGTATCGTTTCTCTTTCTTCTTTCATCCATTCGAACATAAAAAGTAAATAATAATACAGTGAGAGCACATTAAAGATTGGTTTGCATAAAGTTTTAAACATTTACTTATTGAATGCCAGTTTCGAAGAATTCACTCAATGCAACAACACACACACACTTATTTATGCGGATAAATAAGCTCTATAACACAGACAACATTAATGGTCAGTCTCAGTAAGTTAGCACAATCAACTAACAACTATGCGTTTTGCTGTGATTCAAACGGCTCACGCAGTTTCAGCACTCTGCATATTAGTGGCCTCGGTAAGTGTGGACTGTTAAGCTATTTGTTTATGTGAATAACCAAAATACTGCCTTTTTTCAAGTCAATTAATTTTTCTAATCGCAGTCAGATTGTTCATTAATATTAAACGTGCAACTTTAAATCTTTCTTGTAAATTGCACACAAATTCAGCTATGAGCAAGAAATTGAATTTCAGAGCAGTACGTTAGAACGTGATCAAAGTCAGCCTTGTGGCGACANATAAGATGCGACCATGCTCTGAATGTGTGCAACAAACTGGACGAATCTCGAAAGATGGTTCGATTTCTGAGTGTATTTGTGCACAACCACAGCAACAACTTCAGTTAGAGCATCACAGTCCAACCGAACATGAAAAACACCGATCGAATATAAAACCGATTGAGGAACGATGTGCGACTATGTGCAATCCATCTTGTCAGACGCAGTGTCAATCGCTTGTCATTCAACAGACGCACATATCATCAACGGTATCATTATCGCTGAAATGTGCAACGATCTGTGATAATTTATGCTCAGCCATATGTTCACCGAATACTGCACACTTCAGTGTACTCATATCCCATCTGAAACAATCACTTCTTGATAGTATCAAACAAAAGTTGATGGCAGTCATAAGCGATGCACAACGTGAAATCACTCCTCAACGACTCATCCTGAACAGAAGAACGCTCCACCCAGACGAGAAGGAAGAGCTGCGAGAATTGACGGAATGCATATCAGAATGCAATGATAAGTGTATCGACAGGTGTAATGGCTTGTTATCAGCTCTGATAAACAGATGTCAACCTCAGTGCTTGGAACGTTGTGAACGAGTGTGTGCTGTGAACGGCACCGAAAGTGCAAAGCCACGAGACACTCATTCGAGGAATCAACAAGGCAATACGATACGTGCACAAGAAAATAAACCGCTGAAATCAACAACAGTCTCGATGATATTCACGACAACGTTACCAACAACCACAACCACACCAACAACAACTCCATCCACCACCAGCACTACTGCTGCATCGAAACCAACAACATCGAAACCCCGTTCAACTAATTGCAATTATGAATGCCGTCAGTCGAACTGTGAGGAAACACTCGAATGTAGTAACAGCAATCAACAGTACGAAACATCTACAGAAGTGAATTAGTTGGCTTTTTTCTCATAGCTTTTTCGTTTTCACTATGAGTTGTTTTGACGACTTATTATCACGAGGGTTCCACGAAATTCATTACCAAATTTTGTCATCATTCACATCAGATGTAATATGATCAGTTCTATATTTGAATCACCGAATTTGCCGGTATCACAAGTTTCGATTGTTGAGCAAATCCGCTAGATCTTTTCTGTTTTGCTTGTCCAGNCCTCACTACCATCCAAATTATTTGTCTTTAAAGCAAATCACTTCATCATGTCCCTTTAATTCCCTCCCAAATTCGACCAAATCATTGTAAATTTCAGTTCATTAAAATAGAAATAGAGCCGTCGATAGCACAATCGAATGGATGCATACCTGAATGTACATCGGTGTGTTCGGATAAATGCTCTGAAAGTATATCGACTGATAAATGTGAACCGATTTGTGCCACCTTGTGCGCAACGAACTGCGCTCAGTACCAGAAACAACAACAACAACGACAAACATCCCTATCAGCCTGTCAAAAGCTATTCGGTAATGAATGCAGCTGTCATCAAGGATATAGACGATGTGCTAATGGCATTTTACCGATTTGCTGCCGAAAATGATCAATCAGTACTTCGGCTGAACAATTTGACACTGACAAAGTGCTATATCTCACCACTGAGAGCGTATATGCAATACTACCATATTTTTTGGGTCATCAGTTCCAGCAATGACTCATAACTATTAGGTATGGCAGAAATTTTTCGGGCAGTTAGACCCAAAATTTCAAAGTTTCATGACTCCGCTCAATTTTAATTAAAAATAAGAACCGTTCACCTCCACACAACGTTGTTTCCACAACGCAATGTTCCGTTATATCAATTTGGCAGCGTAGCTGCCCGGGAACTTTCTGTCACACCTAATAGAAATTATTGTTATGCTGTTGGCTACTGAACGTAAGTCGAATGATTTAACTGCTAGTTTAGAAACGCTTTCACGAACCATAAAGTCAGTTTTAAAATTGGTTGTTTACTGATCGATCGTACGAAAGACATATGTACCATTATAACTCGAAAAGATTCACTAAAGTCGTTGAGTCTTAGCACTATTGACTGTAAGGCACTGAATTACGACCCAAACTGTGAATAATCTGCTAACTGTAAATAATCATAAACTTGCAATAATTTCGTTCAATAGGCACGCAATATTCAGTTGATGATACTCGACTACAGTATTCTGTATTGCTTAATTCCTTTCCGTGAATTATCCGCTAATTGTATGTTTTTTGTTATATCGAGCATAAACAATAACTCTTCCCCAAATGAATTTGACACGATCCGTCTATGCATATTGTGCACACCCAACCTTAAAATCTCACAATTTGAAAGTGAATACCTTTGCTATTATACTCACAGAAACACTCATCCATAAGTCAGTACCCATGAAATAAAATNTGAAATTCACTCGACACGTCACCAAAAAAATTCTTTTGCCTATGGAAATGCCTAGATACTGCTGACAAGACATTCATTCATATCTGATTGCATAAAGAGATTTTCTGAAGCATTCTTGAACATTTCTAAAGATAAATATACTAAAGGAAAATGCTTCAACAAAACTTATTTACAAATTTATACATAAGTAAGCATCCTCGAAACATAATATCACAATACGTAATCAAAAACAACAACAACAGAAATTATTCAATGATAAATTGTAGAATGAAACCAATAATCATAAAGTATCAAAAATAAAACCAGCAATAAAAAGATAATCAGTGATCCACCAAATGAAGATAAGGGAAGAAAGTGGCAATAAAATGTTGAAAAATGACAGCAATAGGGTGCAAAGGCAACACGATGATTTATTTTCTCCTTATTACACGCTAAAGCTGAATAACAACTAAACGTAACGGTACTCGTTAAAAGGATACACATTCTTTCCAGTGCTGCAAACTTCTTGACGGCGAATCAAATTTTGAAGAGCCTACAACTCAGAAATACATCCACAAATAGTGTTTTTCGACATTACCCAACCATTTCCAATTAACTTCGAAGTAATTAACAAGAACCCAACGAAGAAATCATGCCGTAATCCAGTAAATTCATGTTCAATTCGAACGAGCAACACAAGAAGATGTGCACAAAGTGGGAAATAATCGGTCATTACAAAGAGAAATAACTACGTACCATTCAAAAACTAGCAATAAAAGCACCCATGAAAACGGATTCTGTGTCTTAGTCGAAAACTAACCACACAATACGGACAAGTCTGAGTGCGGAATTGAAATATTGACGAGGAAAGAGAAAGGCAGTAACGAAAGATTCCACAGTGGCAACTGACCGATGCAGTACATCTCCTGAAGCAATACCTTGATGCAACACAAACTTCAAGTTACAACATTGCTAATTCGGAATATTTTTCAAACAACTGTAAATGCATTTATGAAAAACAAAAACGTTTTCTTTTTCAACCGATCTTATCGATAACACTAAAATCAGACGACTTAGCAGCAATAACCACTAAACACTTATAGTTAGATGAAAGTCTGATTTCTTAATAAACAATTTCTCATCCTTGCTGGCTCATTTTCGCTTCATAATGCACAAATATTTTTGAAACACAAAAAAAACACGATTCATTCCAACATCATGCACACACGAAAATGATTACCGAAAACTGTTATCTGTTACTGACAAGACCCTGAAATCACGGTTACTATCGTATTTTCGTTAAAAGTTGTTATATTGTACCAAAATGATGATGAGAGTTGAACAAACGAAACAAACCGTTTAAGAAATGATATTTCGTTTTCGAAGTTCTGCTCTAGCTTCATCAATTTCTTTCCTGAGTTCGTCACGCGCTAGATAACAATCGTTGAATGTTGCCACACCATACAGAACATTGCACACTCCATATATCTGCAAATTTTAAACTTAAACTTCAAACTTCATGACGATAGCTGTTTCAATATTCATCGATATAGCCAATCGTTGCTTTGCTGAGTCATATGATCAGGACATCTAATCTCTTCTGTGGATGAAGGGAACAGCATCCATCACAGTGTAAACTATATTCTTGGATGAATGCAGTTTTGATGTATCAGGAGATGATTTACTTTAAGGTGATCCTGCTCTTGACAATCTCGCTACAAACCGAACAGTTGCTAACTAGAGAAATTGTTCTGAGTCCAACTGTTAAAATGAGCAAATCAGTAAGAGGAAAGCTGAACGAATATTGGTCATACCCCAAGCATCACGATCGCATAGACTGGCATCTGAAAAGCAAAAAATTATAACACTTATCTTGCACAAAGAAGCACTGCATGCAAATTTGCCCGTTCATTATAAACATTAATTCCTGAGTTCGTTTGCAAAAAAAGAATGATTGTGAAACTGATGAAGTGAGATGACAAGAATTTTTGAGATTGAAGGATGAAACGAGGTGAAGAAGAATTACAAGAGAACCCACGTAGAGGATGATATCGTAATTATTGATTGTGAAGTCGTGTGTACCTGGAAGCCAATCACGCAATAAAGCAATCCACAGGAACACAAATGGGAGTATATGCAAAAGATACGAAACCGCTTGAGAGGCCATTCCAAGCAATTTCTATCCTGAAAACTTAGCCATTCTAAATTCGAAATATTATCGCGTTGGTGATTTATTCTCAGTCGAATCAATAACGAAAACACAAAGCTTAAACACTTCATTCACACACCAATAAGCCTGCTTTACCTTGCAACCACTGTAGCTACAACGAGTAAACTACACATATCAAAGTGTTGCGAATGCGTTCTCAGAAAAACTCTCTAACCCAAGCACTCTCTCACGTTTTCACATGACCATACTCATGCACATGCACAATACGATTTTAACTATAATCATTCGAGAGCGTCGCGTGTCATTCTTTTCGTTTTTTTTCTGCACGATTAGTCCTCTTCTTATCAAATCGTTTCCGCCCCAACTTCTAGCCTCAAGATTAGATTGAACTTACCTAACCTAAAGCTCATTTCACTCCCACTTCGCTCACTGAAATCTGTTCGTAATATGCGCCCATCCGCCCTAAAAATCCCCAAACCGATTT